TTCAAACATTATTTTCTTTTTTTTTTTTTTCAGAGACAGTCTTACTCTGTCGCCTAGGCTGGAGTGCACCAGCTCGTCCCTGGGCTTACAGCAACCTCTGCCTCCTGAGTTCAAGTGTTCTCCTGCCTCAGCCTCCTGATTAAGCTGAGATTATAGCGTGTACCACCATACCTGGCTAATTTTGTATTTTAGTAGAGAGGGTGGCATCCACATCATCAGGCTGGTCTCACTCTGATCTCAGGTGATCCACCCACCTCGGCCTCCCAAAGTGCTGGGATTACAGGCATGAGCCTTGCCCTTGGCCTCAGACGTGGTTTTCAAAGCTACCTTTGGTTTTTGGAAAGCTAATATGGAATTTATCATTGAATTATATTTAACAACAGTTGCTTATATTAAGTGTCCAAAACATTAACTTATACCTAATAAGATGGAGTCATGTACTGAAATACTACATAGGTTTTGTCCCAACTCTCTTCTACGTTAAGAAGTGAGGGCCATAAAGTGGGAGGGAAAAAAAACCAGTCCAGGCTGTGGCATTCCCATTTTGTAAAAGTAGTAGCAGAGTTTAACACTAGTTCACTGTCAAGTCATTAGGCTTTATATTCCAAATGATCTGTTGCCGAGGTCTGAGATGGGCACCAATGCAAATTACTAATCCAGAAAATGCAAATTATTATAGAGAAAAAAGGAGGATTATTTGCTAACTTCCCCTCTCCCCTTGTGTTTTTCTGCTATAAGCTGAATGGGTTGAATGCAGGAGTAGCAAGGTCTACCACTCTATAACCATAAAACTCCCTCTGTATCAATAAAAACTGCTTCACCTGCCACTCCCTCCAAACATTCCGGTATCTGCACATCTACTGCCAACTGCACACTGTCGCGAGAAAGATGGCAATTAACTAAATCATCATGATCATCTAAGGCAGTGTATTTGAAATCCAGATAATACAGTTAGATTATCACTAAAGTTTTATAAATGCAAATATACTCCCAAGGGCACAGAAATGTCTAACCGTCATGGCTCCAGATGTAATGGTGAACCAATTGACTATATGTGAATCAAACGGATTGGGGGGAGGGTATGCCTATAAAATCAAGATTAAGGATATTTTAATATTTTCCAGGCCTCTAGAAATGGGCCCCTTTTATACATAAATCTACTTTCTATTTTTTGCTTTTTTTTTGAGACAGAGTCTTACTCTGTCACCCAGTTGGAGTGCTGTGCACAATCTCAGCTCAATGCAACCTCCATGCCACATTTCCCTTGACTCCACTGTGGTCTGTTATAGGTGAAGCCTCAGAGTCATTAATAGGAATGATCTCAGTGGGAGTAGTGACTAACAAGCACACACTGGCCAGTTACCTTTTTTTTCTTGGTGTGAAAACTCAGGCAACAATCATTTGGATTAGTCTGCATGCTCACTGTAGAGTTGCAGCCTCTTGGGCTTTCCATTGGCCATCCCCCTTTTGTAATCTTCCTCCATTTTCAGGCCCCTTGAGGGATTGTAGGCCAGCTCCCAGGGCCCTGGGAGACAGTCCCCATTTCCCGCACCCACCATGCCTTCCCAGGAGTTGAGTCTCGAGCATGGAGGTTTCTGAGACTGTTAGTCCTTTCATGCCTACCTAGCTTAAGAAGTAGCTGGAAAAGTAAGCAACTAATGTTCCCATTAGTGGGTCTAGGTCCTGGGGTCCTGAAAGGGAGAGCTGGGCTACACAAGAGCTCCTTTTGTTGTTTCCAGTTCAAGCCATTATCCTGCCTCAGCCTCCTGAGTACTGGGACGATACGTGCCACCATGCCTGGCTTAATTTTTTTTGTATTTTTAGTAGAGACAGGGTTTTGCCACGTTGGCCAGGCTGGTCTCGAACCTTTGACCTCAGGTGATCTGCCCGCCTCTGGCTCCCAAAGTGCGGATTACAGGCGTGAGCAACAGTGCCTGCCTCTTTTTTGATATAGGGGTCTCACTCTGCCTGCCCATACAGGAATGCAGTGGCGCAATCAAGCTCACTGCAGTTTCAACCTCCCCAACTGAAGCAATCCTCCTGCCTCAGCCTCCCAAATAGCTAGACCACAAGCATGTGCCACCACAGCCAGCTAATTTTTCATTTTAGTAGAGGTGAGGTCTTACTGTTTCCCAGACGGGCCTCAAACTCCTGGGCTCAAGCGATCCTCCTGCCTCAACCTCCCAAAGTTCTGGGATTATAGGCATGAGACACTGCACCTAGCCATAAATCTACTTTCAAACATCTGACTTTCAAATATAGTCTCAGGAATGAATGAAGCAGAAACTTCCTGTTTAACCATATGACTACAGTATAATTTGCAAAAGAAACATTTTTTTCATATCAAATAATTGCATCAATTTATTAAGAAGGGATACTGAAGTAACACAAATAGTAAGTTAATTTTGTTTGATGCACAGACACACTTAAAATTAAGGCACATACATACCTTACTTGGTTTCCTGACTATAAACCGACAGTACAAAATATTACTTTCATAATATGTTATTAAACCTGCCCTTAAAAGAAGAACATTTTATTTTACCATAATTGTGTTTGCCAATGCCTGGTGCACCACAAATTTCTGTTGTTTTCATTAAGGGTACTCCACCCCCAAGAATATTATCTAGTGCTGAACAGAAGGTAATTATGGAGCCCTGGATATGCTCCTGCTCAAGAAGTTCCAGTGCTGTACACTTCTTGCCTGACTCAGATGTACCAGCATATCTTGGTTTATTTGTGAGACATTCTCTTCTTATAATTTGCAGAGTTCTAAGGCTTCCTCTTTAGATATCCCACTTCTGAAAATAAAATAAGAAAAAAGAACCCTAATTTAGAGATTTAAAACAGTGTAACATGATAATGGATTATCTTCACTAATTTAATTTTAGACAGGAGCGATGCTAAGAGTAGAGAAAGATAAAAATGTAACATTCTATGCAACCATTTAACTTTTGAGTTTGGCTGGACACTATGGCTCACACCTGTAATCCCAACATTTTGGGAGGCCAAGGTGGGCAGATCACGAGGTCTGGAGTTCAAGACCACCCTGGCCAAGGTGGTGAAACCCCATCTCTACTAATATAAAAATTAGCCAGGTGTGGTGGCACACGCCTGTAATCCCAGCTATTCCCTGGGAGGCTGAGGCAGGGAGAATTGCTTGAACCCAGGAGGTGGAGGTTGCAGTGAGCTGAGATCACACCATTGCACTCCAGCCTGGGTGACAGAGCGAGACTCCATCTCAAAAAAAAAAAAAAATTCAGATTATTAAAGGAATTTGTTTTCTTAGTCATCACTTAAAGATTTTCCTATTATCTCGGAAATGATTCAACTAAAGCATTTCTGAGTACCTACAAGAATGTCTCAGGAAGAAGAAATAAAAATGTACTCACTATTTTTTTTTCTTTTTTGAGACGGAGTTTTGCTCTTGTTGTCTAGGCGTGATCTTGGCCCACCGCAACGTGCACCTCCCAAGTTCAAGCGATTCTCCTGCCTCAGCCTCCCGAGTAGCTGGGATTACAGGCATGCACCACCACGACAGGCTAATTTTTTGTATTTTTAGTAGAGAGGGGGTTTCTCCATGTTGGCCAGACTGGTCTCTAACTCCTGACCTCAGGTGATCCACCCACCTCAGCCTCCCAGGTGCTGGAGTTACAGGCGTGAGCCACTGCGCTTGGGGTTTCTTTCTTTTTGAGACGGAGTCTTGCTCTGTCTCCCAGGCTGGAGTGCAGTGGCTCCATCTCAGCTTACTGCAACCTCCACCTCCCGGGTTCAAGCAATTCTCCTTCCTCAGTCTCCTTGAGTAACTGGGATTACAGGCACACACCATGACACCCCACTAATTTTTTGTATTTTAACATGGGGTTTCACCATGGTGGTCAGGCTAGTCTCCAATGCCTGACCTCGTGATTTGCCCACCTCAGCCTCCCAAACTGCTGGTATTACAGGCATAAGCCACTGCACCCAGCCAAAATGTACTCACTATTAGCACATTTTTACTATCTCTTTGGTCTTATGAAGCCACAATTATCTCGTACTCATAAAGTATACAAATTTTTCACATAAGAATGAAAAATTCTCATTTTTAACTGCCTGAAATAAGGTACAACTTTAAGAAGCACATATGCATGCATTATTTACAATAAAAAGTTTTCATGGAAATAACTGATGTAAAAATATTCATATATCACTGCAAACTAATGAGAACAATTACCCAATGCACAAGTATTTTAAAGAATTCACTTATGCTCCCTTGACTACGCAATTTCACCCATCTGACAGTATGGCCTGAGAAGAGAAAATGGCAGTTACAAAACAAGCTGGCTGAAGAAATACTGGTGAAGATGACATCACTTATCAGTTTAATATATTGGTGCTTGATTTGATAAGAATATGAGCCATAAATATGGGGCTAATAAAAGACAATGGTGATGACAACATTTAGGAAATGAAAATCTTATCCAGTTCAAGAGCCTGAATGCTGGAATCAGATTGCCTGGGTTTGTAAATTCTGGCACCACTTATGGTGTGACTTTGGACAAGTTACTTCACTTCTTTTTGCTCAGATTTTTTCTTCTATAAAACAGGAATGAGACAATACATGTAAAAAGTTTGGTAGAGACCCACTGTAATCCAGTACTTTGGGAGGCCAAGGTGGGTGGATCACGAGGTCAAGAGATGGAGACCATCCTGATCAACATGGTGAAACCCCGTCTCTACTAAAAATCCAAAAAATTAGCTGGGCATGGTGGTGCATGCCTGTAATCCCGGCTACTCAGGAGGCGGAGGCAGGAGAATTGCTTGAACCCAGGAGGCGGAGGTTGCAGTGAGCCGAGATCGCGCCATTGCACTTTAGCCTGGGTAACAAGAGAGAAACTCCGTCTCAAAAAAAAAAAAAAGCTTGGTCTTATGAAGCCACGAGGCCATCTAAAATGGTCAATAGTTGTTAGTGATTATTATTATTCAGCGTCTCACATTTCTTCTTTGAAAAATCAACTTATTGAAGAAAAAGGAGGCCATCAAATTTTGGGGGACACAGTCTCCGTGCGGTATGACTTAAACAGTTAAGGTTGGGTCTACAAAACTTTTTTTTTTTTTTTTTTTCCTTTTTTGAGACAGAGTCTCACTCTGTCGTCCAGGCTGGAGAACAGTGGCGCGATTTTGGCTCACTGCAACCTCCACATCCCGCTTTCAAGCGATTCTCCTGCCTCAACTTCGCAAGCAGCTGGGACTACAGGTGCCTGCCACCACATCCAGCTAACTTTTGTATTTTTTTTTCTTTTTTGAGACGGAGTTTCGCTCTTGTTACCCAGGCTGGAGTGCAATGGCGTGATCTCAGCTCACCGCAACCTCCACCCTCCTGGGTTCAAACAATTCTCCTGCCTCAGCCTCCCGAGTAGCTGGGACCACAGGCACACGCCACCATGCCCAGCTAATTTTTGTATTTTTAGTAGAGACGGGGTTTCACCATGTTGACCAGGACGGTCTCGATCTCTTGACCTCATGACCCACCCACCTCGGCCTCCCAAAGTGTTGGGATTATAGGCGTGAGCCACCGCGCCCGGCCAATTTTTGTATTCTTAATAGAGACAGGGTTTCACCATATTGACCAGGCTAGTCTGGAACTCCTGACCTTGTGATCCGCCCACCGCGGCCTCCCAAAATGCTGGGATTACAGGCGTGAGCCACCATGCCCGGCCAAGACATTCTTTAGAGGCAAATTGAAACCTCCGTATTTTCCATCATTAAGGGCAATAATGAATAGCACAGGTCTGAGCATATCACAGTGTAATGTGCACAAAGAGTGACCACTGCAAGCTTCATATTTGTATACCTCAGGATGCAGGGGTTCCCACCAATGTATAATCTGCAGTGGTCTGGAATATGAGGTTTTGGGTGTTTTGGTGAATTAGGTAAGAGAAGAATATCCTTCCTACTGCTTCCTTAAGATTCCAGGGATTCTACTCCCTTTCTCATTCTTTGTGTCTCCAGTCCTACACAAATCCTGCATTTCTGAATTTAACCCTTACCCCTTGGATCTTGGAACAGCAAAACTTAGACAACCAATTGTGACTCCACTATTTCCTAACCCAATTATCATGAAAAGTTACCTAACCTCCCCAAGATAAAAGTTGTCTCTCTCATCCATATGCTGAACATAATAACCGACGTAAGCAGGTTCTTTGGGGGTTAAATGAGACAATCCTCAAAGCATTCAGCAGGCATTGCCAGAGGAAAAGCAGTTAGGAAATGTTTTCACGACCAGTTCTCCTAACCATTCAAACAACTTGTAAGTGGAGTCGAGGAGCTGTTTCACGTTGTAAACGCGGCAGTGAGAGGCAGCAGAATCTGAAGGAGACTGGGCTGAACCCAAGGCGGGAGCACCAAGACTGCGGCGGCACTGACGGCGGCCAGTGTGCCAAGGCTTGCCATCAGGAATCGTCACCTTTGCTAAGCTCGGAGGGTTTCACCTCCAGGAGTTCCTCAGCAGTCTGGAAACCCGCAGACACCAACTTCACCCGCACCGCTGAAGACAGCGGGAAACGCAGTAAATCCCGCTGCATTTAAAGCTGAACGTCTTCTCGCGCAGTCGCACAGGCTCAGCGGCTAACCCCGAGGTAGCCAAGCTCCGCACGTCCTCGCCGGGGCGTACGGCGTGACGTCAGACGTAAAGCGGAAGGGGCTGGCCACGCGGAGGTGAGCCTTGCAGCTCTGCGCAGGCTTCTATGTTTTCATACTTAGGCACCATTCCATTATAATTCCCCAAAATCCCATTTAGAGATTCCTCAGGCCGGGCGCGGTGGCTCATAGCTGTAATTCCAGCACTTTGGGAGGCCGACGCGGGTGTTTCACGAGGTCAGAAGATCGAGACCATCTTGGCCAACATGGTGAAACCTTGTCTCTACTAAAATACAAAAAAACTAGCCTGGTGTGGTGGCGCACGCCTGTAGTCCCAGCTATTCGGGAGAGGCTGAGGCAGAGGAATCGCTTGAACCCGGGAGGCGCAGGCTGAAGTGAGCGGAGATCGCGCCACTGCATTCCAGCCTGGCGACAGAACAAGACTATGTCTCAAAAATAATAATAATAAATAAATAAAAAGAGATTCTCTATCAAATGTACACCCTGACTGTAAAACAATGGATGGAGACCCTAAGAGACAGAGCAAGGCCCAATGGGTTTTCCACGCCACATTTCCTTGCCTGCACTGTAGCCTGTTAGGTGAAGCCGCAGTCATTAATGGGAATGATCTCCAGCAGGAGCATTAAGAGTAACGAGCATACACTGGCCAGTTACCATTTTTTTGGTGTGAAAAGCTCAGGGAACAATCATATCAAGATTAATCTGTGTGCTCATTGTAGAGTTGCAGTCTCTTGGCTCTTCCCGCTGACTGTCCCCCTTTCCTGACCCCCTCGCTTTTCCCGCCCTTGCAAGGGATTGTGGGCCAGCCCCCAGCTGCCGCTGCGAGAGACCTGTCCTCATTCCCCGCACCCACCAACGCCTTTCTGTAGTCGAGTCTCGAGCATGGAGGGTTCTGAGACCCTTATTTCTTCATGGCCTGCCTAGCTTTAGAAGTAGCTGGAAAAGTAAGCAACTAATGTTTCCATTTTTGGGTCTGGGGTCCTGAGAGGGAGGAGTGGGGCTACACAAGAGCTCCTTTTGTGGTACAGAGTTGGGAAGAGGCCTTCAAGCCATGGTAGTGACCGCTTCTAAATTAATGAATTTTGGGGAGAAAGGGAAGCAGTTTAGAAGGTGGTTTATGAGATCTTTCCTCGCCTAGGTGAGTGTGACTTATTTAAGGGGGGGTAACTTATTCCCTACCTATTGGCGATGATTCTTTGTCTTGACTTTTCTTTCCAGCTTAGAAGAACTTCCTAAATATTGCAAATCAGAGCCTTCTGCATACTTAGATCTAAAAAAAAGGAAAAAAAGGTACTTTTGAGCACTTTAGCAAATCCCCCACATTTCAGATGGCCATAGTTATGCCAGAAGGAAGATAAGGACATAGAGGCTCAGCATGTAGTTTAATATCAATTCTGATCAAAGAAAAAGGGCTGGCCGGGTGCGGTGGCTCACACCTGGAATCCCAGCACTTTGGGAAACCAAGGCAGGCAAATCTCCTTGAGCTCATGCATTTGAGACCAGCCTCGACAATATGGCAAAGGTGGTGAAACCCCGTCTCTACCAAAAATATAAAAAATTAGCCGGGCGTGGTGGCGTGCACCTATGGTCCCAGCTACTCAGGATTCTTCTTCCTCAGCCTCCTGAGTAGCTGGGATTACAGGCGGCCACCACCACACCCAGCTAACTTTTTGTATTTTTAGTAGAGACAGGGTTTCGCTATGTTGGCCAGGCTGGTCTCAACCTTCTGACCTCGTAATCTGCCCTCCTTGGCCTCCCAAAGTGCTGAGATTACAGGTGTGAGCCACCGTGCCCAGCCTTCATCATCATTCTTAAAATGTCTTTAGGCTGGGCACGGTGGCGCGTGCCTGTAATCCCAGCTACTCGAGAGGCTGAGGCAGGAGAATTGCCTTAACCTAGGAGGTGGAGGTTGTGGTGAACCGAGATTGCGCCATTGCACTTCGGCCTGGGTAACAAGAGCGAAACTCCATCTCAAAAAAAAAAAGAAAGAAAGAAAAGAAAGTGAGAGAAAGAAATACCAACTGAGCATCGTGGCTCATGCCTGTAATCCCAGCACTTTGGGAGGCCAAGATGGGCAGATTGCTTGAGCCCAGGAGTTTGAGACCAGCCCCTCTCTATAAAAAATACAAAAATTAGCTGGGTGTGGTGGTCGTGCCTGTAGTTACAGCTACTTGGGGGGCCAAAGCAGGGAATCACTTGAACCCAGGAGGCAGAGGTTGCAGTGGCCTGAGATCACGCCACTGCATTCCAGCCTGGGCAACAGAGCTAGACTTCATCCCCCCCATAAAAAAGAAAGAAAAAAGAGGATGAATCCCTTTCGGGGAAGGGGCCACATATCAGCATTTGTAACTGAGTACACGTGCAGGTGAGGATAAAAAGAGATTGAGGAGGAGGAGGGAAAGAAGCATTTTTACTAGTTTTGTCTGTGAAGTAAAAAGATAAAAAGACAAGCCTTAATAGCACAGGAATTCAAGGCCCTAGCCTCTTCTCCAAACCAAGAATTCCCAAGTGTTGCCGAAGCCTAGGACACTGGGCACTGGTAAGTCCCTGTGCTGAGGCTGAAATCTGAGTACTGCACAGCATTACAATATTCTAATCAGACCCCTTTATTTACCCACTCAACAAACTTTCCCAAGCACTCACTGGTACAAAACATAGCCCTACTTCAGAAATTGCAAAGACAAGCCTGGAACTTTAAATAGTAGTAATAGGCTGGGCGTGGTGGCTTACGCCTCTAATCCCAGCACTTTGGGAGGCCGAGGCAGGTGGATCACGAGGTTGAGATCAAGACCATCCTGGTCAACTGGTAAAACCCCCTCTCTACTAAAAAATACAAAAAAATTACCTGGGCATGGTGGCACGTGCCTGTAATCCCAGCTACTCAGGAGGCTGAGGCAGAATTTCTTGAACCCAGGAGGTGGAAGTTGCAGTGAACCAAGATCACGCCATTGCACTCCAGCCTGGGTAACAAGAGTGAAACTCAGTCTCAAATAAATAAATAAATAAATAGTAATAATAACCTCTTAATAACAAACTCTTAAAACAAAAAATAAATAAACACTTATACTTGCACAGCACATTACAGTTGTCAAATATCTTTTTTTTTTTTTTTTTTTTGAGATGGAGTTTCACTCTTGTTACCCAGGCTGGAGTGCAACGGCGTGATCTTGGCTCACTGCAACCTCCACCTCCCGGGTTCAAGCAATTCTGCCTCAGCCTCCTGAGTAGCTGGGATTACAGGCATGAGCCGTCATAACCAGCTAATTATTTTTGTATTTTTAGTAGAGACTAAAAATACACCATGTTTGCCAGACTCCTCTCCTGGACTCAGGCAATCTACCAGCCTCGGCCCCCCAGAGTGCTGAGTGCTGGGATTACAGGTGTGAACCACCCTCCCGGCCGCCATTCACGTTCACGGCAGAGCCCAGGATGGTATTCTGTAGAAAGATCCTCGTTTGGGGTCTTGTTCTCTTTTGAACCCACTCCAGAAAATTTCTTGTTCTTTTTCCCGGCACTCCACGACACTGCTTTCGTCAAGGTTCCTATATCCAATGGCCACTTGTCAAGCCCCAACTTCCTTGACCCATGGACAGCTTTCCACATAGTTGAGCGTGTCCTGGATCCAGACATACCTTCTGGGCTTGGTTTCCGGAACACCTAACCCTCCTGGTTTTCCTTCTGCCAGTTCCTCCTTGATTTGGAGAGCCCCAGGGCTCATTCTTCACCCCTCTGCTGCCTTCCGGCTACACATTCTTTCTGGTTGGGAGGCACTCCTCCAGACTCACGGTCTCCAAAGAGTCCCAGCCTGGAGTCCAGAATGACACATCCAGCGGCCTGGCTGACACCTCTGCTTGGCCGTCTGGCTTCCCGCCTCTCTACCTCGTCCTCTCCAAAACCGATCAGGACATCCCGCGCTCTCCCCGACTCCCTATGCCCAACCCCCCAGCCCCCCAACCCCGAACCCACAAACCTAGTCCTCGCCCAACTCTGAATGCGGCAGTCGCTCTGGCCTACACCCTTGGAGCCACCCTCCACTCCTTTCTCTCACCCCCATCCCAGCTCTCCGCAAAGGCCGTCAGCTCTGCTTTCAGAGTACAGCCAGCATCTGGCCACCTCTCGGCCCCCGCGCTGCCCCACCCGGGCCCAGGCCCTCGCTGCCTTCCCGTTTCTATGCCCAGGCCCCAGTAGCCGGTCCGAACTCTCGCGTTCCCTGGGAGGTGGTGGTCGCGCTCACGGCGCAACCGCCCACCCTCAGGGCGCCCCCTCCGAGGGAGGGGAGCCCACGAGGCCCCGCCAGATCCGACGCCCTCCGGGGTCACCTCCAGGACCCCTGCCCTTCCCGCCCAGCCCCCGCCCCGTCCTGACCTGCGTCAGGAATAGTCAGGCGAGGAGGAGGTGAGAGGAATCCGCGTCCCAAGAAAAGAGGCAGTTTTCCCTACACGGCACGGGACACGGTCCGTGCACAGATGCCACGGGAGGCGCGGGCGCTGGGGAGAATCCTTGCTGGGCCCTCGCCGTCCACGCGCCGCCTCCCTACATCCGGTATCTGGTGGTCAGCCTCCTGCCTGGCAGAGGGAAATGAGCCCCCCGTCCAGCAAGTACGCTGCTGGTCTTCCCACCCGATGGTGACGAACTAAAGACCCAGCGCAGCCTGGTCTCTTACGATGATGCCTTGCGACCTCGTCTTTCTCCAGGAAAACGTGGACTGCTCTCCGCCAACAGATCTTTTCCACAGACCCATCCGCCTTCGTCCCGTAGTCTCTTTCGGTTCGGTCTTTTGGCTGGATTGACACGAGCAAGGAAGTCGCCCCCAGCGGAGCCCCGGCCCTTGATGCGGAGGTGGCCGGGGGCGGAGTCAAACGAGGTGATCACGCCTCCTGGGGGAAAGGGCGGGGCATGCAAATTTGAAATGAAAGCACGGAATCGCGGGAATAACTGCTGTGCAGCTGAGGCACAGCAATGACTTGGGGCTGTGGCTACTGTGTTTGTAGCTGAGGACGGGATGGGGATGAAACAGTAACTTGATTTAAAGTTTGTCCTGATGAAAGAGTTTGAGTTGAAGACTGTACCTGGGGTTGTAATTGTGGCTGGCCTTGGGAAGGTATCTGAAGAGATGTATGTGGTTGAATTGGAATCGGTTGTGAGGTTGTAGTCTGAACCTGGGATTGTTGTCCAGGAGACACTTGGGATGGAGTTGATGGACGTATTCGAGTCTGTGATGGACTTTGGACACGAAAAGGAGACTGTCCTTGGACATTACTTTGAGGCTGAGACTGTGCTGCAACTTGGAGCTTGGATGACTGTGCTTGGGTGGGTTGTGCTTCAGAAGGGACATGGGATGCAACAGTTGTTTGGGTCTGAACTTCAGGCTGAGTCTGAACTTCAGGCTGAGCTGGTGACTGGGGCTGGGGCTGAGCTGAAGGCTGAGTAGTCTGTGGCTGGGCTTCTGCCGGACCCACACTTGATGACTTGGTGGCAGGGTTTTGTCATGATGTACCTGCATCTGGGGTGACAATTTACTTTGTCTTTGTTCACCTGTACCTGTGAAAAGGAAAGATGAACCATTTCTATTATTCTAGAACATAAGACTGTGGTTAAAGAAGAATCTGAAGAAGATTTTCTAAAGTTGAATATTTTGGCCAGGCGCAGTGGCTCATGCCTGTGCACTTTGGGAGGTTGAGGTGGGAGGACTGCTTGAACAACATAGTGAGACCCCGTCTCTACACAAAAACAAAAAAATAGAAAAAATAATCTGGGCATAGTGGAGCATGCCTATAGTCCCAGCTACCTGGGAGGCTGAGGTGGGAGGATTGCTTGAGTCCAGGAGGTCAAGGCTGCAGTGAGCAGTAATGGTGCTACTTCACTTCAGCCTGGCTGACAGAGCAAGACCCTGTCTCAAAACAAATAAAGTAAATAGAGTTGAGAATTTTGGTATTTTGATACCGAAGGTCTATGCCTTTAAAATGCTCCATCTGGACATGCTCAGGGCAGGACTCTCCTAAACTGGGGAGCCTGGGCCTGTTTCTTGGCTGTCTCCTGTAGACCCTCCTAACTCTCCAGAGGGCTGGCTTCTGAAGTGCAGCCTCTGGAAATTAGCTGGGTCACCTGGCCCAAGCTAACTATCAAGCCTCACTTTTCTCCCATGATGCAGTGGCAGTTAGTTATAACGACTTGTAGCAGAAGGCCAAAAAAGTGGTTCTGGACCTGCTCTCAATTTCAGGTCATGAACTGGATTTACCCACCCTCCCTGAGATCACCTCCATGACTCAATCAGCATCTACAAGGCCTGGAAATGAGTAAGTGTGGGCACAGTTACCAAGATAACCATTATTTTTGCCCCCTTTCTCTTTTTTCCTTTCTCTCTTTTTTAATGGGAGGGAGAGGGTGGTGGTAACAGGGAGTCTGTAAGAATAGGTTATAAGCTTCGAGACGCTGTAGGCTGACTATGTCAACTGTTGAGCTCACTGGCTTGAGCCACATCCTTCCAAGGGTAAATACTGGTTCTCCTATTGGCCTCTGTTACCCAGCAACGTGTAGTAGTAACATCCGACATTTCTGACAAACCCACAGCTCTACCTGCTGCTGTCGTGGAAACAGTGGTGGTGGTGGTGCTGGCTGTGGTGGCTGTAGTTGCCAATGGGGTAAAGAGGAATCGCTGAACAGTACCATTTGGCATTGTAGCTTGCATTAGCTGCTGGCCTGGGCCTGGGAGTACAGTCACTCCTGTACTCCCAGTTGATACCTGGGAGTACAGGTATCAACTGCAACTGTCCAGTAGTTTGACCTTGTCCTTGAATTACTACTGTCAAACCTTGATTGCCACCCTGTGGAAAAAACACAACATGTATCATCTTGAACTGTAGCTAAAAAAGAAAAAAAAAAAGAATGAAAGAAAAAAAAATTAAAAACACAACATGTAAACAGTGTTCAAAGCATCAATCTGTATGTACAGCATTTTTATGTGTAACAATCCTTTAATATAACGAAAATGTGTATTTGAATGGCACCAACAGGAATTTAGGTAAGCTAAGGTAAGAATATTTACGTTGCTTAGTAGGAAAAACATCAACAATCTAGAGTTCCAGTTCAACTCTCCCAATGGTTATCTGTTCACAGCCAGTTATCTGTCCACAAACAACACTGTTTCTCCAGATCCAAGTTTCCCAATCCATTAAATATTGAATGACTAAAATTCTGATTTTAAATAATCTCATATTTTATAATTAAGAAATAATCTTTATATATATTGCCTCATTTGAGTCTCACAATGGACTTGTGACTTTGTGGGATAGGCAGAGAAAATATTATTCTTTTTTTTTTGGGACGAAGTCTCGCTCTGCCGTCCAGGCTGGAGTGCAGTGGTGAGATGTTGGCTCACTGCAACCTCTGCCTCTCGGGTTCAAGCAATTCTCCTGCGTCAGCCTCCCAAGTAGCTGGGACTACAGGCACCCACCACCCTGCCCGGCTAGTTTTTGTTTTTTTAGCAGAGATGGGGTTTCACCATATTGGCCAGGCTGGTCTTGAACTCTTGACCTCATGATCCACCTGCCTTGGCCTCCCATAGTGCTGGGATTACAGGTTTGAGCCACCGCACCTGGCCTATTCTTATTTGCAACTAAGAAACTCAAGTTAGAATGGTCAAGTACTGGCTGGGCGCGGTGGCTCACGCCTATAATCCCAGCACATTGGGAGGCGGAGGTGGGTGGATCATGAGGTCAAGAGATCGAGACCATCCAGATCAATGTGGTGAAACCCCATTTCTAATAAAAATACAAAAATTGGCTGGGCATGGTGGCGCATGCCTGTGGTCCCAGCTGCTCGGATGGCTGAGGCAGGAGAATTATTTGAACCCAGGAGTCGGAGGTTGTCGTGAGCTGAGATTGCGCCATTGCACTCTAGCCTGGGTAACAAGAGCAAAACACTGTCTCAAAAAAAGAAAGAAAGGTCAAGTACTCTGCCCAACTTAAAGGTGAGATAAAATGAGGAACTCGGGTCTCCTGAATTTTGTCTTTCAATATGTACCAAATTACCTATGAGGTATGTGTGTGCTAAAGTGTAAAAAGCTTAGGGTTTTAGATAGGTAATGCAAACACCAAGTAAGGAGGATCATTAAGGTCTGAGCAGTTACCAAAATGGGGTCTAGAAATTTAAAACTCTGTAGGCACTGTCTCTTCTGTCCAGAACTTTAAACTAGAAACCTTGAATACCCAGGAACATGATGGAGAACCAGAAAGCAAAAGTAAAAGCCTTCCCCTAAACTCCCAATGACCAAAACTGGTGGCACAAAGTCCAGGTACTAGGTAAGCTGCATATATGTGTGAGTTCCTCAAAGCTTATTTACTCTAGTTTTTCTAAAATACATTTTTTATGCACAAAAATACACAAAACACCTAGTATAATTTAAAAATTATAAAGTAAACACCTATAAAACCACCACTCTGGTCACCATTGCCAATGTGCTAGAAGCTCCCATGTGACTCACCCGGATCTCAATTCCCTCCCTCTCCCCTAGAGGTGAGCACTGTCCTCATTTTGATTACATTGTATTTCATTATTACTTTGGTATGTATCTTAGGTATGTATCTTTATAGGGCCACTGAGGTTCACAACCTCAGGAGCAATATTCACGAAGAATAACAATGGAAATGGTGCCCCCTTCAGGCAGGCAATGCAGCAGCCCTGTATCCCGACACAAAATAGCTTAGTTTTGCCTATTTCTGAATCTTACAACATGTATTTTTTTGGATAGCTACTTTCTTCTTTAGCCGACCATTATATATTTGTGAGAATCATCTGCGTAGTTCTATGTGGTTGAAGTCTGTTCATTTTTATTGCTGTAGAAATATACTACAATTTATCTATCTAACCGATTTTGAGAGACATCGGGGATGTTCCTGGTTTTTGACTCTTAGGAACAATGCTGCTATGAGTATGCCATGTACCTTGGTGCTCACAGGACCAAGAATTTCCTAGGGATACATCTAGAAGGTATACTGGGACCTCAGGCATGCACAGCTTCAACTTTACTAGAAAACATTCAGGAGGTTTCCAAAATGGCTTAACCGACTGATATGCCCATCAGCTGTGCATGAGAATTCTTTCTGCTCTGTGTCTTTGCTAACTCCTGGTTTTGTTGGACATTTAAATTTGTACCAATCTCTTAAGCATATGGTTTCAATATGTATTTCCTTTTTTTTTTTTTTTTTTTTTTTAGACGGAGTTTCGCTCGTGTTACCCAGGCTGGAGTGCAATGGCACGATCTTGGCTCACCGCAGCCTCCGCCTCCTGGGTTGAAGCAATTCTCCTGCCTCAGCCTCCCGAGTAGCTAGGACTAGAGGCGCACACCACCATGCCCAGCTAATTTTTTGTATTTTTAGTAGAGACGGGGTTTCACCATGTTGACCAGGATGGTCTCGATCTCTCGACCTCGTGATCCACCCGTCTCGGCCTTCCAAAGTGCTGGGATTACAGGCTTGAGCCACCGCGCCCGGCCCTGCCTTGTTGTTTTTTTTTTTATTGAGACAGAGTATTGCTCTGTTGCCTAGGCTGGAGTGCAGTGGTGCAATCTCGGCTCACTACGACCTCTGCCTCCCAGGTTCAAGCCATTCTCCTGTCTCAGCCTCCTGAGTAGCTGGGATTACTGTTGCATGCCACCAGGTTCAGCTAATATTTTTGCACTTTTAGTAGAGACAGGGTTTCACCAAGTTGTTCAGGCTCATCTTGAACTCCTGACTTCAAGCAATCCATTGCCTTAGCCTCCCAAAGTGCTGGGATTACAGGCATGAGCCACTGTGCCTGGCCTATACTAATTTGGATATCAGGTTAATCATACAGGGCAAATAATCCTGTTCCTCAAAGGTATAGATATTCTGTTTTTTTTGGGATGGAGTCTCACTCTGTCGCCCAGGCTGGAGTGCAGTGGCGCAATCTTGGTTCACTGCAACCTCTGCTACCCAGGTTCAAGTGATTCTTCTGCCTCAGCCTCCCAAGTAGCTGGGATTACAGGCTCCTGCCACTGTACCCAGCTTATTTTTGTATTTTTAGTAGAGACAAGGTTTCTTGGCCACGCTGGTCTTGAACTCCTGACCTCATGATCCACCCGCCTTGGCCTCCCAAAGTGCTGGGATTACAGGCATGAGCCACTGTACCCAGCTAATATAGATATTCTTAAAACTTTGTACCTCCATATAAACTTTTAGTATCAGCTTGTGAAGTTTCATTAAAACAAAAACTCTTGGGATTTTTAAATTTTAATTTTAATTTTTGGGATGAAGTTTCATTCCAACCTGGAGTGCAATGGTACCATCTTGGCTCACTGCAACCTCTGCCTCCCAGGTTCAAGTGATTCTCCTGCTTCAGTCTCCTAAGTAGCTGGGACTACAGGCATGTGCCACCACACCCAGCTAGTTTTTTTTTGTATTTTTAGTAGAGATGGGGTTTCACCATGTTAGCCAGGATGGTCTCGATCTCCTGACATTGTGATCAGCCTGCCTCAGCCTCCCAAAGTGCTGGGATTACAGGCATGAACCACTGCACCCAGCCAACTCTTGGGATTTTGATGGGAACTGCATTCAATCTATTAATCAATATTAGAATACTTGATAACAATATTGGGTCTTGCAAGGAAGCAGCTTAATGTACTAGAATTTTATTTTTCTCATGCAGATTAGCCAACTAATAAAATTTTGGTGATTAAAAGGGTTAACTGTTTTATTGCTACAGCTCACTTTCTAAGGATTACTCTACTAATTGGGGTTTATTATATCCTTCTAAGAAGTACTTCTGTTTGACTCCAGGAAGTAGTCACTTCTTCAAATCAGCACATTTAAAAGCTTATCAAATAAGTACATGTATTTAAACTTACGGTAAGAAGAAATAAGACCACCTCTGCAGTTAAAATAAAGCGATGTCACTTATGTGGCCCTGTGTTAACTGAGTGAGCTGAGCCATGGTGAGCTTCACTTGTCCTTGTTGGGGGCGAGGGGACTGTGAGGTTGAAGACTATATTTGAAGTGGATGTTCCTGGAGTTAAGCTTTTCTGCCCAGGTGTTGAGGAAACTGTGTTAGGGGCAGAGATTGCAGTGGAGACAGGCTGCCCCCTGATGATCTGAGTCATTACTTGCTGAGGAGCACCTGTACAAAACATCAAAACATTAGGAATGTTTATACATCCTTGGCATCATTTTGAATTGAAAGAATTCCGTTTTCAAAACACTGAAATGCTGAGAGTCCAACGATACATTCAGATGTATGTCCACACCCAAAGATCCCACCTGGTTGGCAGTGAGTCTGTTTTCACTGCCAACCGTTATCCAGTCTCTGTTGTCTGTAGGAGAATGGAAAAAACCAATTAAAATTATTCCTATAAATGTAAAACCAAAAAGATAATAGGGAAGACAAAAAAGAATATGTAAAATATGTCATTTATAAGGCTGCCTTTTCTTAGGAATCTAACATTAAAAATAAGATGCTATAATGATAAAATAAAAAATAAGATGCTAATACAATAAAAACTTAATTCATAGGAATTTTAAACAAAATGTAAAGAATCTGGAATATTCTGGGTCAGCTGCATTTACAATAAGTTTCTCTTACAGCTATTTGACAGACAGCTTGGGAGAACCATGGGGGCAAGGACCACTATATCCTCAATACTAGGGCAGAGTGCTCAAATAATGCTTACATAGTAATTGTTCAATAAATGTCAACTGAATTAATGAAGTTTAACTGGAATGGCTCTATGGTCTTCTGAAAAGCCCTTTTTAGGTTAACTTGCTGAAACTAGAATAGGCAAGTGGAATTTTCCCCCCGTAGAACAGTTGCTAAGAGTAATTTTCTGGTAGCTAATTTGACATTTACAGTCTCATTACTAACTAGTGAAAAACATCAAATTTCTCAAGCTTTTAATATTTAGTTCCTGCCTTTTTTTCCATCTGTGAATATATGCATATTTCTTTGTGGTTTTCTTATGGCTGAATGTTACTTCTTATTACTGCACATGTACAAAATGAAACCCATTTTGACATTCAGAATACGTCCCCACACCTTTTTGTTGTTGTTAAACTTAACACCATGGTAAGATCCCTGGTTATATTTTTGTGTGCTTCTGATTATTTCTTTTTTTTTTTTTTTTTTTTCTTTAAACAGAGTTTCACTCTCATTGCCCAGGGTGGAGTGCAATGGCATAATCTCGACTCATCACAACCTCCACCTCCTGTGTTCAAGCGATTCTCCTGCCTTAGCCTCCTGAGATAAATCTGGTTTGAATCCCAGATTAATAGTTTGAGAAATTACTCAACATTCTGAGTTTCAATTTTCTCATCCATAAAATGAGGATAGTATTAGTATCTACTTTATATGAAGATTAAATGAATGCTTATGTATAAAACACATACACCCTGCCACAGTCAATGACGAATATACGACAGTTGTTATTTTAGAGTATTACTACTAAGAATTAATTCGTTTGCCGGGTGCAGTGGCTCACGCCTATAATCCCAGCTCTTTGGGAAGCTGAGGCGGGTGGATCACGAGGTCAAGAGATCGAGACCATCCTGGTCAACAAGGTGAAACCCCGTCTCTATTAAGAATACAAAAATTAGCTGGGCATGGTGGTGCGCGCCTATAGTCCCAGCTACTTGGGAGGCTGAGGCAGGAGAATTGCTTGAACCCAGGAGGCAGAGGTTACGGTGAGCCGAGATTGTGCCATTGCACTCCAGTCTGGGTAACAACAGCGAAACTTCGTCTCAAAAAAATAAAAGAAAGAAAGAAAGAATTAATTCGTTTAAGGTCGACTTTTGTTAAAGTACATTAAATGAGTGCTGCACAGCTAGGCGGCAGGGTTGGGTAGTTCATCATACAAACCCTATCCTCACAGGGTAGTCAAGAATCCAGGGAAGAAATGTGGCAAAATCCTGGAGATGGAGTGGTTTGGAAACTACAGATTCACTTATGCATGTCAAACAAACATATAATTACAGCTACATACGGCATTATGCAACAAAGGCTCTGTGTTACCATAGTAATACCAGCATTTACAGTTTATCTGGCAATTTACCAAAACTGTCAGTTTTCTAAGGATATAGAAAACATTCATCACCTGTAAATTTGTTTCTCCTTTATATTAGTTCTTTCTTTCCTTGTAGCTACCTGCCTCACTGACAGATGGAAGTTTGAAACATAATAAATCTCAAATCTTATCAATTGTGGCGCGGTGGCTCACGCCTGTAATCCCAGCACTCTGGGAGGCCAAGGTGGGAGGATCACCTGAGGTCGGGAGTTCAAGACCAGCCTGACCAACATGGTGAAACCCCGTCTTAAAAAAAAAAAAAAGAAAGAAAGAAAAATCTTATCAATTGTTAGTGCAGCATTAACTGATATAATCCATTTTCCTTTCTTTTCTCAGGTAAATGCTATTTAGGCAAGCCGACTGCCTTAAAAAAAAAAAAAAACTATGCTATATTTCATTAGAATTGGTGCCCAATTTGTAAAACAAGAAAGATTTTATCTATCTTTCCCCTTATGCCCTCAAACCATGTTTTATAACAAGAAAATTATTTCCTATCCATTTCCAAGAACTTTACCTGTAAAACCATGAAGTCTGTAATTCTTTGCTGTAGGTAACATTATGGTAACTTTTCAAATTTCTTCTGTTGATATGTCACTGAGACGTTCAATTTATAAGCACCATATTTAATTATGTCTTGCTATTCAAATATATTTATGTCCTAAGTTCGGACATTGAGATTTCTGAAAGTCTTACTACAAGAATACCTATACCCAATTCTTTTTTTTTTTTTTTTTGAGACAGAGTCTTGCTCTTGTTTTATATATGTTTCTTTTGAAACATGTTTTATATATGTAGTGCAGTGGTGCGATCTTGGCTCACTGCAACCTCCGCCTCCAGGGTTCAAGCAGTTCTCCCTACCTCAACCTCCCAAGTAGCTGGGATTATAGGCACCTGCCACCATGCCCAGCTAATTTTTGTATTTTTAGTAGAGACAGGGTTTTATCATGTTGGCCAGGCTGGTCTTGAACTCGACCTCAGGTGATCTTCAATTCTCTTTTGAGTTAAAAAAGCTCACTTTAATTTTATTTTACTTTTTCTCCTACTTCTTTTAACAAGCATATTCTTCCCTTTTCCCTAGATTAGACTTGCAAAATAATGGTCTAATTTTTTTTTGTCTTTTCTGTCTGTTTTGTAATTATTATTACTTGTGCTTTCATTTCCTCCCTCATTTTCTTTTTTTGAGACAGGCCTTACTCTGTCACCCAGGCTGGAGGTACAGTAGCAAGATTTGAGACAAGTCTCACTCTATCACCCAGGCTGGAGGTGCAGTGTCAAGATTGTGGCTCACTGCAGCCTTGACCTCTTGGGCCCATGTGATTCTCCTGCCTCAGTCTCCCAAATGGCTGAAACCACAGGCATGTGCCACCACGCCTGGCTAACTTAAAAACTTTTTTTGTAGAAATGGGGAGCTCACTACATTGCCCACGCTGGTCTAGAACTCCTAGGTTCAGGAGATCTGACTGCCTTGGTTTCACAAAGTGCTGGGATTATAGGTGTGAGCCACTGTACCTGGCCCTGTTTTCTTTTGAAACTTGTTTTATTTATGTTTCTAACTTCTGATTAGGAATAGGGGTATTTTTGAGGTCGGGCGCGTTGGCTTATGCCTGTAATCCTAGCACTTTGGGAGGCCAAGGTGGGTGGATCACCTGAGGTCAGGAGTTCAAGATTATCCTGGCCATCATGGTGAAACCCCATCTTACAAAAAGGAAAAAAAAAGAAAAAGAAAGAAAGAATAGGGGAATTTTTGGTCTGCTTTATTAACTCATTTATTTCAACTGCCTAGAGTAGGTGTTCAAATATGTACTGAATAAACGGAATCATCTCTAAGTTTAACTGCAGCGTCATGGCTTCAGGTTGCTATTTGAGAATTGCTTTGCAATTACATATTTGATGTTTCTTTAACTTAGTTAGAACATACTTATATACTTCTAAGCAAGTTAAGATTATTAGTATAATGTCTTTTTTTTTTTTTAAGAGGCAGAGTTTCACTCTTGTCACCCAGGCTGGAGTGCAATGGCCCAATCTTGGCTCACTACTACCCCCGCCTCCTGAGGTTGCAGTGATTCGCCTGCCTCAGCCTCCCGAGTAGCTGGGATTACAAGCGTCTGCCACCATTCCCGGCTAATTTTTGTATTTTTAGTAGAGATGTGGTTTCACAATGTTGGCTAGTCTGTTCCCGAACTCCTGACCTCAGGTATGCACCCATCTTGGCCCCACAAAGTGCTGGGATTTCAGGCATGAGCCACAACACCTGGCCAAGTCTTTTTTTTTTTTTCCTAATACATCTTGTTATAGCATAATATAGTATCTTAATATTAATTTCTAGCTTTACTATAAAAATGTGGCCTATACACATTTTATTTTTTGAAATTTAAAAGGTTTTATCTATGACCCAAAGACTACTTTTCCACCAAAAAGCCTATAAATATTTTTTTTCTGTTATCTTTTATTTGAGATGGCGTTTCACTCTTGCTGCCCATCCCAGTGCAATGGCATGGTCTCGGCTCACTACAACCTCTGACTCTCAGGTTCAAGCAATTTTTCTGCCTCAGCCTCCCAAGTAGTTGCAATTAAAGGCACCCGCCACCATGCCTGGCTAATTTTCGTATTTTTAGTAGAGGTGGGGCTTCACCACCATGTTAGCTAGGCTGGTCTCGAACTCTGGACCTCAGGTGATTCACTCATATTGGCCTCCCAAAGTGCTGGGATTATTGGTGTGAGCCACTGCACCCAGTTTAAGCCTATAATTTTTTTTTTTTTTTTTTTGAGACAGAGTCTCACTCTGTCACTCAGGACGGAGTGCAGTGGTGTGATCTCAGCTCACTGCAGCCACTGCCTCCTGGGTTCACGTAGATTCTCCTGCCTCAGTTTCCCAAGTAAGTGAGATTACAGGCGTGCACCACCACACCCAGCTGATTTTTTTGGTATTTTTAGTAGAGACAGTTTCACCATGTTAGCCAGGCTGGTCTTGAACTCTTGACCTCAGGAGATCCACCCACCTTGGCCTCCCAAAGTGCTGGGATTACAGGGCTGAGATACCACACCCGGCCAAGCCTATAAATATTTTAAATAAGTACATATTTGTGAAGGTATAAAAACCTCTGCCTCCTGGATTCAAGCAATTCTTCCACCTCAGTCTCCCAAGTAACTGGGATTACAGGTAGATGAGCCACTGTGTCCACCTAATTTTTAAACATTTTTAGTAGAGATGGCATTTTGCCATGTTTGCCAGGCTGGTCTTGAACTCCTATTCCGCCTTGTGATATGCCCACCTTGGCCTCCCAAAGTGCTGGGATTACAGTGGAGAGCCACCTCGCCTGGCTAGTCTTCAACTTTTAAAATGGTAGCTTTAATCTAGTCACATTAAGAGTAATAAATGAATGTCTGGCATGGCATTTGTAATTTCGTTTTATATGTTTCTTTGCTGTCTCCTTGCTTTTCTGTCATTTGCTATACAGACTGTTTACTTCAACTATATATTTTATTAGTGGTTTCTATGACATTTTAAATAATCTTACTTCAACCTATTTTTCTTTTACTGGCAATGTCAAAATGAAATATTATCAATGAGTACATCTCACAATAGAGTTGAAATTTAGTATGCTTTAAAGTACTAATTCAAATGGTATTTTCTAGTATATAGTGCCAAATACAGGGAATCACATATTTCCTAGACACTGCTTAGATGTAAAATGATAATGTTGGATGGATAAATACCTGGCTGTACCATCACAGGTGTTCGAATAATTGCCTTTCCTAGTGTTGACTGTTGGAGTGGTGTTCTAATCACGGTCATACCAGGGCGGATCTGTGGCCCTGTGATTACCTATAATGACACAAAAGACAATGAATTAAAATGTTTTAAAAAGACTAAAGTATAATGGACTTAGAAGACAAGATCTTTAAACAATCTATATTAATAAAAATATCTACAGAAATGATAGAAGCTCTTGAACATTACATTTTAAATTATATTAAACATCAGAATAAAGATGGAATTTTGAGGAAAGAAAACTTAATTCAAATGCTATTATACAAAATTCCCTGCCACTGATACCAAGAACAGCCTATGGACTAAAAGGAAAAAACAAGTGTCAGTGAGGCTCTGCTCTGTAACTAGTGCTCACAGGAAAATGTGGAGTCCCGCTTTCTGTAAGCTCTAGATCATACCTGTAACCCACAGAATATAACAGGAAGATCAGAAATCAAATGTTCTTTCATAGTTTTAAAAAACTTTTTATTTTAAATAATTTTTTTCTTTTATTTTTTTCGAGTCTGGTTTTTTTTGAGTCAGAGTTTCATTCTTGTTGCCCAGGCTGGAGTGCAAAGGCGCGATTGTGCCTCACTGCAACCTCCGCCTCCTGGGCTTAAGTGATTCTGCCTCCGCCTCCCGAGTAGGTGGGATTACAGGCATGCACCACCATGCCAGGTTAGTTTTGTATTTTTAGTAGAGACGGAGTTTCTCCATATTGGTCAGGCTGGTCTTGAACTCCCGACCTCAGATGATTCGCCTGCCTTGGCCTCCCAAATTGCTGGGATTATAGGCATGAACCACCCTGCCTGGCCTAGATTACGTTTTAATTTTTATTTTGAAAGGTCTGTCTCTATTGCCCAGGTAGAATGTGGTGGCATAATCTCAGCTCACTACAACCTTTGCCTCCCAGGCTCAAGCCATCCTCCTACTTTAGCCTCTTGAGTAGTTTGGAGTGCAGGCGAGCACCACCATGTCTGGCTAATTTCTGAGTTTTTTGTAGAGATGGGGTTTTGCCATGTTGCCCAGGCTAGTCTCGAACTCCTTAGCTCAAGTGATCTATCCGATTTGGCCTCCCAAAGTGCTGGGATTACAGGTGTGAGTCACCGAGCCTGGCCCGACACTTTTTTTTTTTTTTTTGAGACAGAGTCTCAGTCTGTTCCCCAGGCTGGAGTACAATAGCGCAATCTTGGCTCACCAGCACCTCCAACTCCCAGGTTCAAGCGATTCTCCCGCCTCAGCCTTGGGAGGTTGAAGTGGTGGTGAGGCATGATTGCACCCTTGTACTTCAGCTTGGGCAACAAGAATTGCACCCGCCACCACACCTGTATAATTTTTTGCATTTTTAGTTGTGACAGGGTTTCACTGTGTTGGCCAGGATGATCTCACTCTCCTGCCTTCATGATCTGCCCACCTCAGCCTCCCAAAGTGCTGGGATTATAGGCATGAACCACCATGCCCAGCCCTGGCCCAAATTTTAAATTCTATTTCTTAGCTAGCCTGCATAGCACACTTCTTTGGGTAGTCTAGTGCTGTCCATTGTTTTATGCCAAGAAATTTTTTATATAAAATAATAGAAAGCAATTATTCTTCATAAACCATACTAATGTGTCATTAAATATTAAGAATTAATACTTCATGAATAATCTTCACTTATCAGAAATATAACAGATTTTTTTCCAAATCAGTACTCTGTCACAGATTTAGTAACAGGCAAAGGAAACTGAGTTGGATTAATCTTGGAAGAAGCCATCCTAAAAACAATGTAATGTGCTCAATACATCAAATCAAAGTAAGTCGGTAAGAATTCTTACTTGTGAATTGCTTGTGGTTCCTCCAGAGCCTGAGGTATTGGGCCTAATCGTGACTGTTGCAGTTCTGGGCTGGAATGAAGTAAAGGTTTGCTGACTGGCACCTGTACTTGATGGAATGATACCCAGGACTTTCTGCTGTACTTGAACAATGCCTTAAAAAAAGATGAAGCCATAATTAAAGACTGTCACTTTAATGGAAAGCATTACATGTTGGTCGGTTGCTGAGGAGAAACTACGTGTGGCAGGGTTTTATAGTGGGCTACATAAAATGTGAGATCCGAGGACTGAAATCAGTGAAAAGGAGATGAAAAATAATGGCAACAGTATGATCTGGCAAATGTGAATTAAAGCTCTTCACATTTCCCTTACCTCCTTGTGTTGCTGGCACATTTACAGCGACAATCTTGCTGTTTGCAGGAAGTGGCAGTTTGGTAATTACTTTTCCTGCCATAGTGACTGGACTGCCTGTAATTTGGAACATCTGACCTGTGCTGGCAATGGTTGTAGCAGATGTGGCAGCTGTGCTGGTGGCTAATGGGGTATAAGACATTTAATAAGCTTTAGATTTAAAATAACCAGCAACGTACTGACTTCTAGGAAAGGGCACCAATGCATGAAATGTGGCTCATTTTGTGTCTTTAATAAAAACATTCTGCTCCACTCAAAGTGAACTATGTAAATGTTGAAAGTGAAATAATGTAAGAGATGAGTTTGCTAATGTAATAATATGAACATTATCTGTAACAAACCGTTATGGCTTGTTTGCTCAATCAGCTGCAAAAGAAAAACAATCTTCTAAAAAAAAGTTTCATTTCAGTAGCTAAAGGGTTCAAAATTCTTTTTCCTGATGAAAGTAAACTTTTACTTAATCATAATTGTATACCTGAATTGGACTGGCCTTGCTTAACCCACGAAGCAAAGGTTTGATGAAAGTTCTTGTTTTGTTGGAATGTTACTGTCCCTGGAGATCCAACTTTAGTAGTTAGTACCATTTTGGTTCCAGTGAAACCAACATGGTGAAACCCCATCTCCACTAAAAATACAAAATTAGTGGTTGTGGTGGCAGGCACCTATAATTCCAGCTGTTTGGGAGGCTGAGGTACAAGAATCACTTGAACCCGGTAGGCAGAAGTTGCAGTAAGCTGAGACGCACCACTGCCACTCCATCAATCCAGCCTGGGTGACAGAGCAAGACCCCAGTGCAAAAAAAAAAAAAAAAAAAAAAAAAAAAAATTTTTGTCCAAACCAAAAATCAGAACCAGCAAGAAGATACTTGCAGTTGTCAAGGAGTTGGGGGTGTAAAATTAAGCCTGTCCCAGGATGATCCAAGCTGTGAGGCCCATGCCCCGAGAGTGACAAGCAATTGCCCAAACCCAATTGCTTGGGCAATTGGGTTCTCTAGGAAGAGAGAAAGAACCTGTTAGCGCCCCTGCCCACCTCACTCCCTTCCTGTCTGAAGCACTCAGTTGAGGTGGCCTCCAGAGGACATGCTCCCCCAGTCCTGTCTGGGCTGCGTAACTGAGTCTGAGAAGCCAGTGAATGGGCTTTGGGGAGTTGGGGGCAGGGGTTGGAAGCAGAGGAAAGATGGAGCGACCTGCCAAAAGGACAGATGGCACAGAGCCAGAGGAGGCCCTCAGGCCTGCCACACGTCCCCAGACCCTGGCCTTCTGCCCACTGTCCCCCTAGCATCCCTCCTCTCAACTGGACCGAGTCTGGGGCTTTGATGTGAGTCAGCCAGGGCTGTCAGTGCCCAGGGATGCCAGGCAGTGTACCAGTGTACCAGTGGGGGAACCCTGGGAAGGAGAGGCTGCTGGAGCTGGAAGCTGCCGTAGGCACACTGACCTCTTTGCAGGGGCCTCTCTCTGCAGCTTGTATAACACAGCTCCTGCCAAGGGTGGTATAGAAAGGCACAGAGCCCACGGTGGGCTGGGGAAGGCCGCTGAAAAGGCAGCTTAAGGGCCTCCTGCTGGGTGAGATGGATTAGGGGCCTGTGGGGAGGGAGCAGGGCAGCAAGAAAGGCACCGGCCCAGCGCCACAACCCCTTGGCCAAGGCCCTCTGAGAGCAAGAGCCACTGGGTGTCTGGCAGGCAGGTGGTCAGGTCAGCGTCCTCCACCTGGCTGAGGGGCTGGGAGGATGAGGACCCAGCTGGGGTGACACACAGGGATGGGGAGCTAGACCATGGGGCCCCCAAGATAGAGGGACATTTCTCAAGGAGCAAGTAGACTTCTAGCAGGAAAAGGGAGGAGGGAAATAACTGACTTGCCCAGCTATTCTACCCGTATTGCCCCGCTGCCACTCACAGTGAAGGTCTCATCCCAGAGGTTTCTTGATGGGAGGGGAGGGGACAACCCTTCCTATCCTCCAGCCAGCCCTCTGCTTCTCAAGGACCCCCATGTGGAGCTGAGAGAAGGGGACCCACATGGTCCTAAAGTTTCCACACAAGCACTGGTTTAGGAGAAGAGCGCAGGTGGCTACTGATACAAGCTGTGCTGCTGAGAAACCTGGTGACAGTCTCTGGCTGCTTTTGCTTTGGACTCCATTTTGCTAGTCTGTGAGATGGGATCTCTGAGGCCACACCGTGGAGTGTGATGAGGACTGCTGGAGGAGTCAGGGGATCTGACTTAAGCTCTTGGAGACTTGTTTATTTTTCACCAGTCAAATATAGAAGAGAAGAGTCTGTTCCATTGATTAGATGGTATATCTTTAAGAGATGACATGCGGCCCAGCGTCGTGGCTCACGCCTGTAATCCCAGCACTTTGGGAAGCTGAGGCAGTTGGGTACTTTAGACCAGTCTGGCCAACATGAGAAACATAGCTACTCGGGAGGCTGAGGCAGGAGAATGGCTTGAACCTGGGAGAGGGAGGTTGTAGTGAGCTGAGATCACGCCACTGCACTCCAGCCTGGGCAGCAGAGTGAGAGTCCATCTCAAATAAAGAAAAAGAGATGACACGTGCATTCTGGAAATTGCAAAGTGCGATATGGCCTTGAGGTATCGTTATCCCTGAAGTGCTTGTATGTGTGTATCCATCCTTTTGACAGCTGTTTCAGGGGAGGGGTGGGACACTCTGAGAACCAGGGAATGCCATATGAGATGCTTTGCAACTCTCTATCTTCACAAGGATTTTGAGAGAATGTTATTGCTGTCCCCATTTTACAGATGAGAAAACTGAGGCTCAATAGCAGATATAACTGCCCAAGTTTGCAGAAGCGCATAAAAGGGGCATCTGAATTAGAAAGCAAAATTCTCGGGTCTCTAACAGGTCCTGTGGCCCCAGGGTCTGGAAGCATTATTCGTAGGTCTCTATGTTTAGAGCAAAGATTTCCCCAAAGGTTTGAGTCCTCCTTCCTCTAGTTAGGCTCTCGTTAGGAACAAGGCTTGGATTCTCAAGACCCTTCTCCCCAGTGTACAAAAGGTTAGGGAGGGTTTGCAAAGTGGGTGAGAAAGTCTGAAGTGGGCCCAGATGACCAGATAAGATACACTTGGCCACTGGGGACATTCTCTGGGGAGAAGGGACTCCAGGGAGGGGTACTTCAGCCTCAGGGCATCCTTGGATCAGAGCCACCCTGTCTCCCATCTCATCGGGGCCAGCCCCTTCTTTGTGCTTGTTTTTTTCCACAGTCCAGCAAGGGGGGGTCCTGGGATCCCAGGCCCACTCCCTCCTGCTGGGCGGCACTCCATCAACCCCCACATAAAAAGCTTGAGAGTGGAGAAGGGGGCGGGGGCATTCTCACTCTGAGGAGGCCTGGGCACCCTTCTCCCTTTCTGGGGAACAAGAAACTTGCAGATGGTTCGGGCCCCTTCCCCAGCCCCTGGCCGCAGCCCTGGCTCCCCCAGACAAAAAGCTGCTTTACATGAGAAGAGCGGGCTGGCCTGGCCTTACTCAGGCACTCAAAGAGGCGGTAGCCCCTGACAGCCGCGAGACTGCCCCTTCCCACAAGCTGAGGCTTTATTTAGTTGCAATTAGCAATTCTTTGCATATCCCCCCAGGGGGCTGAGAGGGATGCTCGCCCTCACCTACCAAACCCAGCCTTCAACCTTAGGAAGCCTCCCAGCAAAGGCTCCCGTCACTCTCCTGCTTTCTCTCTCCTTCTCCCCACCCGTCTCCTCCTCACTGCCTCCCCCACCAGCTCACAAACTAGCTCGTTGGCTTTCTGAGTTCTCCAAAGAGGGAGGCACCCAGAAAGGCCTAACCTAGGGTGCTCAGGGTCAGGGTAGGGGTGACCCCCTCCTCAATCCACACTGCTCCCTCCTTCCTCCCTTCCCACTTGCCACCTCCTCTCCACGTCAGGCATAGCTTTTGGATGGCTGGGAGGGGAAAGATAGAGGAAAGAGACTTTTTTTTTTTGAGATGGAGTCTTGCTCTGTCGCCCAGGCTGGAATGCAGTAGCCTGATCTTGGCTCACTACAACCTCCGCCTCCCAGGTTCAAGAGATTCTCCTGCCTCAGCCTCCTGAGTAGCTGTGCCCAACTAATTTCTTGTATTTTTAGTAGAGACGGTGTTTCACCATGTTGGCCTGGCTGGTCTCGAACTCCTGACCTCGTGATCCACCCGCCTTGGCCTCCCAAAGTTCTGGGATTACAGGCGTGAGCCACCGCACCTGGCAGAAGAGACCTTTTAAGAAAGAGATCTGCAGCCAAGCATGGTGGCTCATGCCTGTAATCCCAGCACTTTGGGAGGCCAAGGCGGGTGGATCACGAGGTCAGGAGTTCGAGACCAGCCAGGCCAACACGGTGAAACCCTGTCTCTACTAAAAATACAAGAAATTAGCTGGGCATGGTGGTGCACGCCTGTAATCTCAGCTACTCAGGAGGCTGAAGCAGGAGAATCGCTTGAACCTGGGAGGCAGAGGTTGTAGCAAGCCAAGATCAGGCTACTGCACTCCAGCCTGGGCGATGGGTAAAAAAAAGAAACAGATCTGAGGGTGAACTGGTGGCGCAGAGGCCCGGGGGTGCTTGAAGAGGGGAGGGGACTCACCTCTTCTCAGTCTGGCCTGCCCTTTGATGCTATGGTGTGGGTCTCTCAGAAGGGCTTCTGTGCAGGGCTGGGGACCTAGAGCCCTCTGATGCCACACCCAGGCAGGGGTAGGGTGGTGCAGTTTGAAAACCACTAAGAGGAAATAGAACCCCAGAGCTCTGTTTAGGCTCGCACAAATCCGCTCCTCAGTATCTGGTCCACCCGTGGCAGAGGTAGAGGAGGGCAGGGAGAGTCAGGAACATCTTCGAGCCCTTGATCCACATTAGTTTTCCCTGGGGTCTTCCCCTCTTCTTCCCCTAGTCTCCCATGGGCTTTTCCTGTCCCCACCAAGGGGAGCCCTTGGTACACTGGGGGCCCCAGAGCTGGCGGAGAGTAGGGGGCCAGCCAGGCCTGCACTCCCCACATCCACAGGATCTTCCTTTCTCCATGGACTGAGACCAAGCATCCCTGGGGGAGAAGACTCCTTCTTTCAG